AAATATGTATAACTCACACTCTTGAAGCTTTAGTCTTTAAACAGATTCGTTAAAAATAGGTTGCTAACTAATAATAGTAAGGTTTGAACAAATAACTAAATGGAATTTTATGCCATCTGATTTTACAGATTTCTTACGATAAAACAATCTATGTCACAGTTTTTTCTCTGATCACACTTCTTTCAGGAAAATTTTAGAGTATAATTTAAGTGTAAGTGACAGGTTTTCATTCTATTTCATATTTTAACCAAGAATACAAAGTTAAAGCATAAAACAATCACTTTTATTCTAGTTTTTTGTATTTATATTCTTCCATTTGATTATCAGAACTAGTGAGCAATTGATGAAAAAATATTTTAAAATAGTTTCAAAATTCATTATTGTTTAAAAACTGAAACTTTATGTCAATGATGAAAGCATCTCTTTGAAATTCTACAGGCTTCTGTGTCTGACCACAAGCAGTGACCTGTGGTATTTTCTGCCAAAACACTTCATTTGTCTCACAGAACAACTAATCAATTCCAGAGCCCATCAATCATTTCAGTTGTATACTAGTCTGGTCTTGCTTAGAGAAGGTCCAGATGGCTGCCTGTGTAAGTGGAATTAATAAAATTCTGATAGATTACATGGCACCAAACTAAAAAATACAACAGGGAAGACTGAATCTTATTGCAGGGCAAGGTGGATACTGCATACTCTTTTATTTATGACATTCTTAATTCTTGCCCTAATTTCTCGATTTACATGCCAACTTTTGGACCAAACCTTCTAAGTATACATGTCACCGAAAGCAATCTCTTATTAAGAGTGCCGGTATACGTACTGAAATACCGTCTGACTCTTTGCAAAGACCTACGCCTACTAACCAGTGCCTTTTCTGCCCACCTGCAGTATAAATGAAACACAGCCAACTGGTAAACTACAGAAGGTCCCTGACTTAGGATGGTCCAATTTATAATTTTTTGACTTTATGATGGTATGAAAATGATACCCAATCAGTAGAAATTGTACTTTGAATTCTGAATTTTTATCTTTTTCCAGATTAGCGGTACAAAGACTTCAATATGCTTGAGATGCAGGACAGCGGCAGTGAGCCATTCTTTCCACTTTCGGTACAGCAGTCAATAAATTACATAATATATCCAATACGCTGTGATAAAATAGGCTTTGTGTTCAATGGTTTTGCCCAACTGTGGGCTAATGTAAGTGTTCTGAGCAGCAGGCTGGGCTAAGCTATGTGTTTGTAAGGTTAGGTGCATTAAATGCACTTTCACCCTAACAATATTTTCCCCTTACCATGGGCTCATCAGGACATAACCGCATTGTAAGTTGAGAAGCATCTGTAGAAGTACTGGAAGTTACAAGATTGATGACGCTCTTGTTTCTACTGTCAAACACATATCTGATAGCAGTGGCTCACCCCTTCTATTTTCCAATGTCTTACAAAAACAAACAACCTGTACTTAATTCTATAAGTAGACATCATGTGATTTTAGCTGCCAACATTAGGCCTTTGCTCTTGGTCTCCCCTGTGGGGACTCCATGCTGAGTAGTAATGCCAATAAAATCTAATGGCAACAGGAAAACTTATTTTGTGCCAGACACTGCGGCAGGTGCTCGGTGTGTATGTATTCATATTATCCACGTGGGTACCCTCAAAGACAGATACCACTGCAATTATCCCCATTTCACAGATGAGTAATCTGCTTGTTACTTCCTCAATATTTGAGTGGTGGTGGTCTGGCTCCATAATTTTTTGTATGAATCAAGACTACACTCCCTCTGCTATATTACAGAACAATTAACTAGTTCCAGAATGAGAAGTTGGTGTCAGGGCTCCGGGCTATTAACACAGAGATCTGTACCTGGGACATCATACTGTTGCCGTCAGTGACAGAGTGGAAATAAAGCACAGACCCAAAGAGGCAAGAGCAAGCTCAGAATGGGTCCCAGTGGCTCTTGACTTCAGAGCATTTACATTAAAACTAAAGCAGGGCCTTAGCTCATCATCTACAATACACATTTACCAGGAAAGCTAACACGGAACCTTAAACTAATCAAATGGAGTTGGTAGAATGATTTTCCTGATTTCTAAGAATGTGAAAAAACCTGGAGTTACATATTAAAATATCCAAAATAGATCTTTCAAATACACTATTTTATGTCCTTTCTAAAAATAATGGGCCTAGGGTCAGCCCTATAGCCTCGTGAAGGGAGCCAGATCTCACATGGCCTACTGTGGTTCAAATCCCAGCCCTCATGGCTTAAAAAACACACTGTGTGAGTGTGTATGCATGCCCCAAATCTTGACAGGATGGAGAGATAGATAGGGATTATGGTGTGGGCACACATCATTGGGGGTGCTTTCTCCTACTCCCTCTCTGTTTCTCTCTGGTCATGTGGAGATGTCAAATGTAATTCCAGGCCAGTAGCAGACTTTAAAAGTACCTTTATCCCTCCTAAATCTTTATCAGCCTTCTCCATCCTACCCCAAATAAACATGTAATCGAAGTAAACATGGCGTGCTTGCTATGCAAATAGATTCAAGATGCCTGGTCAATAATTGGAAAGTAAGAACATTTCTAGTTTTTGATTCATAGAGTTATCAATAACTTTCCTCTTAAAACACTAACTGGGGAGTTCACACCACTACTTCTTTATGCAGGCAATGTCACTGAACTCTTTTCTGCAAGAGTGAAGCATAAAGTTTTGGTTACAAATTCCTCTTTTTTTCTATGAAGATATTTTTCAATAAATTTAGGTGAACCCAGTTTTCCACTCAAAAATCACAGCTTATTCATTTCATGGTAATTAATAAGTAACTCAAAAAAAGTAAGAATATCAGAGACGATTCTTTTTTTTTTTTTTCCGGCCAGTACCATGGTCTAGTAGTTAAGGGAACCCATTCTCACACAGCCAACTGAGTGGTTCAAGTCCCAGATGTGGCAGCTTGTAAAACACCCAGGCACATGTGCATGCACACCCAGAACCCCAACAGGAAATGGAGGAGAAGTGACTGTAGCATGACCATGCCCCAGTGGGGCGCACTTTCTCCCTCTCCCTCTGTCTCTCTCTGGTGAGAGCATGAACCCACTGACAAAATTAAAGAAAAAGTAAAAATGACTCTTTAAACCATAAAATCTTTTGACTCGTGCACACACAATACTGAAAGAAAAAGATTATCCAGGAAATTTTATATGTGACACAAAATTTAAGAGCTTTGTTAAATAACACAAAATCATCTTTAAAAATGTATTATGGTAAGAAGTATATAACATAAAATGTACCAGCTTGGGGCTGGCAGGTAGCATGGTGGTTAAGGGCGCTGGACTCCCACAAGACCAACTTAGGATTGAGTCCTGGACCTGATGGCTTGCTTTCTCACTTTCCCTCTTTCTCTCTCTCTTTCACTCTGTCCCTCTCTTGTCAAGTTAAAATAAATAAATAAAGTTAGAAAAAAAAGAACATCATAACCCTTTAAAAAAAAAAAAAAAGAACCAGCTTAACCATGTGTAAGTATAAAGCATTTTGGCAATGTTAAGTACATTCACATTATTATACAAGCAATCTCCAGAACTTTTTCATCTTGTAAAACTGGAACTGTTCCCATTGATCAACTCTCTAATTTACCCTCCTTCTAGTTCCTAGTAACCAGTACCCTATCAATACTTTCTGCTTCTGTGAAGTTGACCACTCTAGATACTGCATGTAAGTTTACTGATATGGCATTTGTCTTCTTGTGACTGGCTTATTTTACTTATGTCTTCGAGGCTCATTCATGTTGCAGCATGTGTCCAAATTTCCCTCCTATTGAAAGGATGACTTCATTGAAGTATAGAGAAGAGAAGAGAAACTAATAGAGACTGGGATGGGTGGGGGAGAGGGGAAATAGAGCGGTGCTGGTAATGGAAATGAAATAAAAAATAGGTAAGGGGAACAATTTCTAGTGTTGCATAGTGATAGTGCGGTAGGGTGATAATAGTTAACAACAATTTATTCAGAGTAGTAGATCTCAGAGTAGCTACAAAGAGAATTTTGAATATTTTCCCAACAAAAAAATAATGGCAAACAGTTGAGATGATAAATTCTTGGGCTGTCAGAAAAGTCACAAGTATTTTTTCTATGTTTTTCTATGTAAAAATGCATCATGACTTTTCCAACAACCCAATAATTACCATAATATGATCATACTACATTATATTTTATGTTGAAAAATCATGTATCATATGAATATGTACAATTATTATACTTTTTTTTTAAAAAAAAGTCTTTCCTTTTTAAAGTTGGATAATATTCTGTTGTATTTATACACATTTTGTTCAACTGTTATCTGGCAGTGGACACTAGTTGCTTCCACCTCTTGGCTACTGTAAACGTTGCTGCAAATGTGGGTGTGCAAATACCTCTTTGAGATCTTGCTTTCAATTCTTTTGGATACAGATCCAGGAGTGGAACTGCTGGGTCATATGTTAAGTCTATTTTTATGTTTTTGACTTCTCACCGTTTTCCACAGTGGCTATGCCTTTTACAGTCTAAAATGACTTTTAATTTAAAGTAAATTAAGTGACTTTTAATTACAGTATATAAGTTATGAACATTAAAAAAGAACTTCAAAAGAAATAATGATATTTTGGGAAAACTTAACAACAAAAATTCATTACTTCAGATGGCTTAAGACAGAAAACCTCGCACTATGAACTACTTACACGGGGAAAAGGCACGGATTCAGACTCAGTGATAATCATCACGTATTCAGACACTATATCACTGGCCAGACACTTCCCAGCTATAAAGAGCATATACCTAACATATTCTTCCTGCCATGTTTTATCTTACTAGATACTACCAAACCCACCTTATGTTTAAAGAGTGCTTTGCAAATCAAAGAGATTGGGATTAATACAAAAGTGCATGCACACATACACATAAGGACATATGTATATATAATGTGTGATAGGTGCACATATATTCCTACTATCAAATACTAGGAAAATAATTACCTTATGGTTTCTTCATGATATAGAGAACTAACAACTGGCCCACCAAAACCAGTGTTTACTTCCTTTCCTTTCTTCTCTGGTGCCTGTAGGAGGGAAAGGGTAGAAAAAAGACGCATGGATTAAAGCAGGGTGCATTAAAACCAGTTGTGAAATATTACTTTGCTAAGAAATGCTGACGATTTTATCTTCAACCACTTCTTCAAGCCCTAGTCACAAATTTAAGGTGGTATCAGAAGGCAACAGAACTTTCCCATGATCCCAGTGATGGAATGGGTACTCACCTGCAATCCAAGGTCACTCTACTACCTCCTTCTAGAGCCACCTAAAAGCAATAGTCTTAGCTAATTGTGAAATAATGTTCAATGTGGAAAATATAGATGTTCACGTGAAAAGATAAAAATGAAATACAAACATCAGACATGAATCTGATTAGGAAATCATATCGAGATTTTAAAAACTCCTATATAAGAAGCAAACTAAACTGTAATAAAACTTCAAATTCAATCGTAAGGAAAATATTTTTAGATAGAAAGAAGGAGAAAAAGTAGAAGAGAGGGAGGGGAAGGGAGGGGAAAAAGAGGTTTAGATTTGAAATAAAAGAAAAAGAAGCTAACTGCTATAGAAATGCTTTCCAAAGTCAAAGATTCAATAGGCCCTGCCCCTCTATATTCTCAAAAGACACACGAGTACAATTAATTTACGAGTACAATTAATTTATCAACAGGATTCTTCTGTAACATGTAATATGGAGGCAATGAACTTGAATGTTACATTCATTGAAGTTCTTTTTTTTTTTTTTTGGAGAGGTTTTTGCTATAAGGCATGTGCACTCACCAGACAGAGAGACAGAGAGATAGAAAGCGAGAAATCACCCCTCCCCAGGGGTATGACTATGCCACAGTCCCTTCTCCTCCATTCTTCTCTTGGGATCTTGGGCACAAACGCACAAGCACTCGGCGTGAGTGTAAGCCACTGGGTCCAGGACTTGAATCCTGGTTGACTACATGGGAGTCCAGTGACAACCATTATGCCAACTGCTGGTCCCATCACTGAAGTTCTTAATGTAAAGTACACAGTTTAGGACACATACCTACAGTCTGCTTGGCAACTATCTGCTGTGAAAATACTTACCAATAATTAAGAGTTACATGGCATTTTGAAGAGAAATGAATACAGCTGGGATTTTTTTTTTTTTTGGCTTTTTTTTTTGGAGAGGTTTTCGCCATAGGGCACGTGTGCTCATCAGACAGAGAGAGAGAGACATAGAGACAGAAAGCAAGAAATCACCCCCCAGAGGGGATGGTCACGCCGCAATCCCTTCTCCTCCATTCTCCTCTCAGGATCTTGGGCACACACGCACATGTGCCCGGCGTGAGTTTTAAGCCACCAGGTCTGGGACGCGAACCGCAGTCGACTACGTGGGAGCCCAACGACATAACCATTACATTAACTGCTGGTTCCCAATACAGCTGTTTTTAAAATTTAACTGATAACTTTTTTCTTCATGATAGTGAGAGAAAGAGAGAATGCAGACGTGGGGGAGGGATTTTTGACACTATCTTGCTGTTATCACTGTCCCCCTCCCACAGCCTCCAAGTTAGGTACGACCACAGGCACGTACCACTACACCTGGCCTGCTTAGGTAGGCTGGGACGTGAGCCCAGGCCTCCCATGTACCTTCAGCCACTACACCCTCCCACTTGTGTAACCAAGGTTGGGCCTTATTAGCCTTTATTTTCTAGAGTGTTTTTTAGGTTTACAGAAAAGACAGCTGGAAAATACGGTTCACCTTTGTTTTGTTTTTAGTTTGCTAAAGGGTGTCTGTGGTTGCCAGAAAGAGAGAGATATAGAAGGAAAGTGAGAAATCAACCCTAGAGGGGATGGCCATGCTGCAATCCCTTTCCTCCATTTTCCTCCCAGGATTTTGAGCACACACCCACACATGCCCAGCATTATGTTCAAGCCGCCAGGTTCAGGACTCAACCATGTAGTTGGCCATTTGGGATCCAGCTGGCTTAACCACCATGCCACCTGGTTGGCTCAAGACAGTTCTCTTTTTAAACTTTTTTCCTTAGTGCCAGAACATGCATGCACACAAGAGAAAGGGGAGAAAGAGGGCTGCCCCTCTGCCAACAAGGCCTGGTTGTGCTACAATCCTTTTCCCTTCGTTTCTCCATCCCATCAGGATATTGGGCGCATCTGTATGTCTTTCAAGCCATGGGGTTTGAGATTCGCACCAGTCAGCCACGTGGGATCCAGCTTCTCAGGCACACACAGACCCGTGGCACTACGGGGCTGGTCCCATGTAAGAGAGTTCTCTTATACTTTCTCACATGTGTGTGCCTCTGCCCAATTTCGCCTATTATTAACATCCTGCATTAGTGTGGTATATGCTACAACTGATGAGCCATTATTAATATGCTGTTATTAAAGTCCATAACTTACATTAGGATTCATTCTTTGTGTTATACATTCCATAGGTTTTGATAAATATACATGTACCCACCATTACAGTATCATTCAGAATAGTTTTTTTCTTTTTTAAAAATTATTTTATTTAACTGTATTTATTTATTCATTTATTTATTTCAATTTGACCAGAGAGGGATAGAGTGAGAGAGAGAGAGAGAGCAAGCCACCAGGTCCAGGACTTGAACCTCAGTCGGCCACGTGGGAATCCAGCACCCTTAACCACCAAGCCACCTGCCAGCCCCGTCATTTAGAATAGTCTTGCTGCTGTAAAAATCCCCAGTCCCCCATCTATTCATCCCTCGCTCCCTTCTTCCCTCCAAACCCCTGACGACCACTGATCTTTTCACTGTTCCCATGGTTTTGCCTTTTTCAGAATGTCATACAGTTGGAATCGTGCAGTAGATAGACTTTTGAATTGGCTTCTTTCACTGAGTCTTATAAATTTAAGGTTCTTCCAGGTCTTTTCATGGCTTAATAGCTTATTTTTAAATTTTAAAAGTATAATTGTTTCAAAAAACATAAAATAGGGGACAGCAGGTGGTGTAGATGCTAGACTCAAACATGGTCAACCATAGTTCGAGTCCCAGACCCAGTGGCTTGAAAACCACAGTGGGTACATAATACATGTGTGCCCAAAATCCTGAAGGAGAATGAAGAAGGGACTGTGACATGGTCATCCCCCCAGGGTGTGATCACTCACTTCCCCTCTTTCTGTCTGTTTCCAGCTAGTGCACATGCTCTATAGAGGAAAAAAAAATAAAGAAAGAAAATAAAGAAAAAAATTTAAAAATCATAAAATATAACATTAAGAATATAGTTTGGTTCAGTGGTGTTAACTATATTTTCCCTACCTTCACCCAAAGCACAAGATTATTCTCGGATCTTCACTATAAGAATGTATAGTATAAGAATAGAAAGTTCAATTCTCTTTTTTAAGCTTATTTTTTTCCATGAGAGAGACGAGGAAAATGGAAGAGACAGAGAGAGAGAGGAAGGGAAGAAGTTAAAGAGGAGGAATAAAGAGATAAGTACCGCCAACATGGTCTTCACACCTTGATCCACCCCCATCAGCCTAGACCCAGGCACACGTGTGTACATGCTAGGTATGCTCAAGCAAGCCCTGGGACGTGAACCAGGGGGACCTTCCCAGCTGTGCCATTGTGCTGCTCTCTGACCCCTCAATGATCTTTTTTTTAAAGAATTATTTTTTATTTAACTTTATTTATTTAGTCATCCATTTTAATTTGACCAGAGAGAGACAGAAAGAACGACAGAAAGAGAGAGAAGGAAAGTGAGAAAGCAAGACACCAGTCCAGGACTCAAACCATGTTTGTCCATGTGGGAGTTCAGCACCCTTAACCACCACACCACCTGCCAACCCTAGCCCTCAATGATCTTCTAAAGAGACCTTAAATTTTTTTTTCCCTAAGTATTTTTTATTAATTCATACATTTAGCACTTCAACTCTTATTTGGTACAATATGTAGGTCCAAATTTCCATCTGATATATATCTGCCTTTCACCTGAAGGTCTTTTTTTTTTTTAAAGAGATTTTTTTGCTGTAGAGCATGTGTGCTTGACAGAGGGACAGAGAGACAGAAAGCGAGAAATCACTCTAAAGAGAGAATAGCCACGCCACAATCCCTTCTCCTCCATTCTCCTCTCAGGATCTTGGGCACACACACAACGTGCACCTGGTGTTGAGTTTGAAGCTATCGGGTCTGAGATTCAAATGCGGTCGACTACGTGAGAGTCCAGTGACATAACCATTACGCCATCTGCTGGTCCTGATCTTTTTTAACATTTACTATATAGTGTGGATTAGTTAGCAATAAATTATCTTTGTTTTTGTTTAGCTGAAAAACAGTGTTCATTTCACCCTCATTTATTTGTTTTTGTATTGAAATGTGACTCACATAACTAAAATTAACCACTGTAAACAGAACAACAGAGTGGCATTTAGTTCATTTACGATGCTGTACAACACCACCCCTATTTAGTTTCACAATACATTCACCATCACAAAAGAAAGCTGTGAACACATTAAGCAGTCTCTTTCCATTTAACTCACACCTAGACCCTGGCACATACCAATCTACTTCCTGTTTCTCTGGATTTGCCTGTTCTAGGTATTTCATATAAATGATATCATATATGTGATCTTGTAAGTACGGTTTCTTTAACTTAGCAAAATTTTTGCAAGGTGCATCTACATTATAGCATGTACCAGTTCTTCATTCCGTTTCATGGTTGAATAATACTCTGAGTATGTACACCAATGTCACATTTTGTTTATTCATTCATCAGAATTCATTCATTAGAAATTTGGACTGTCTGCCCCTTTGGTTACTAAGGTGAGTATTGCTATGAACATTTGTGTAGAGGATTTGAGTACCTGTTTTGATTTTTTTTTTAAGAATTATGTATTTATTGGGACCAGCAGATAGCGTAATGGCTATGTTGCTGGACTCCCATGTAGTCGACCGCAGTTTGAGTCCTGGACCCAGTGGCTTAAACTCACGCCCGGTGTGTGTGCATGCGTGCCCAAGATCCAGAGAGGAGAATGGAGGGAAAGGGATTGGGGCGAGGCCATCCTCCCTGGGGAGTGATT